GGTGAACAGGAACTTATGGAGGGCATCGAGGGTCGGATCGTAATTCTTCATCTTCAGAGGAGCGTTTGAAGGTATCTACAAATCGCTCGACTTGTCCATTGGATTGGGGATGGAACGGGGGTGATCGGACGTGCTCGATTCCTTTGCAGCGGCAGAAATCGTGGAACTCGGCAGAAGTGAACTGAGTTCCGTTATCGGAGACAATGACGCGAGGGAATCCGAATTGGGCAAAGAGGCGGTTGAGTTCTCTCAGGGTTGCGGCACTGGTCGTGGATGGCATTGGTATGACTTCGGGCCACTTGGAGAAGGCGTCGACGATGACGAGGTAGGATATTCCTTCATGTGGGCCGGCAAAGTCAATGTGAATCCGACTCCATGGTGATTCTGGGCGGGGCCACGAACAGAGCGTGTTTTTGATTGGTGACTTGGCGGCTTCTTGACAGTCGGTACAGGTGCGAACCAATTTTTCCAAGTCTTCATTAATCCTTGTCCAGAATACGTAACTGCGAGCTATTGATTTCATCCGGTTAATTCCTGGATGTCCTTCGTGAAGGATTCTTAGAACAGCTGGCTGAAGGGAGCGGGGGGTAATGATGAATGCGGCTTCCGAAGAGCAGGCATCCTTGTTGAGTTGACAGATCGTTTCGCAAGTGAGCGTATCGAGCAACGTGGTGGAGAACTTGTCGTAGGGTGTCGTCTTCAGTGGTTGCATGGGCAACATCTTTGGCTGTGACCGGTAAGCGGTTAACGTTGTCGTTGAAAATGGCGTTGATGTCGCGGGCGATTTTCGCGATTATGACATCTTCTTCCGGTGGCGATTGAGCGGAGATGAGACGGGAGAGTGCGTCTGCTTGTCCAAAGCTGCTAGTGTTTCGGTATTCTATGTCGAAATCATAGGCAAGTAGTATAAGTCTCCATCGTTGTAGACGGTTTGCCGAGTATGCAGGGACTCCTTTCTTAGATCCGAATATGGCCAAGAGTGGCTTGTGATCTGTGAGGAGAGTGAACCGGCGTCCATAGATATATCGATGAAATTTTCGAACGGCGTAGACGAGCGCAAGGCCTTCTTTTTCTATTTGGCCATAGTTTTTCTCTGCGTTGGTGAGAGAGCGGCTAGCGTGATAAACAGCTTTCTCTCCTCCATCGGGATAACGGTGGGAGATAACAGCTCCAATTCCGTAGTCTGAAGCGTCGGCTGCGACTATGATGGGTAGCTCTGGATCATAGTGGGTTAGCAGCAGGTCTGAAGAGAGAACTTCCTTGGCGCGATCGAAGGCAGCTTCGCATTCAGAGTTCCAATCGAATGGAGCTCCCTTTTTCAGTAGTGCATCGAGCGGTGCACGGAGTTGGCGCATCTTTGGGACGAAGGCTCCATAGTGATTGATGAGTCCGAGGAATGACCGGACCTGAGCGCAATCCTTCGGTCTTGGCATTTGTATAATAGCGTCGATCTTCTTAGGATCGGGTCGGCGTCCAGCTGTTGAGATGACGTTTCCGAGATAGGTCAGTTGGTTCATAACGAAGTGGCATTTGTCGATACGGACGCGGAAGCCGTAGGCGGATATCCTTGAAAATAGCGCTTCCAGATTGGCGTTGTGCTCGGAGAGTGTGCGGCCGGTGACGATGACGTCGTCGAGGTAGGCAGCAACGCCGTTGAGTCCAGAGATCATGGAGTCGATGATCTGCTGGAAGATGCCAGGCGCGAGATTGGACTCCAATCGGGTGCCAGTCGTCCTGATCCGGGTCGTACGAGAATTTGTCGATTCTTCTTGCCATCCGGTCAAAAGCGGACTCTTGCTGAGTTGCTGCCGGCGTAGATATCTTCTGCAGGAGATCGACTAGTAGTTTCTGCTGAGCGGCCATCATCTGCAGCAGATCGTTGACTGGCAACCTTCCTTCCGTCGTTGAACAGGCGGGGTTCTTGAACTCCTGATCGCCATTTGTTATGTCTTCGACGAGCTGAGTAGAAGCTTTATTTGTAGGCATAGACGAGACCAAAAGTGAATGCAACCATACTCGTGAAGGTTTATATAAGCATCATGTTTATGTGGTGATGATCCATCACCACTATCACAGTGTACACAACTATACTGAAGTTCATTTAATGAGAATGTATGGCGCATTCGGCCTACCCCCAACACTCCGTTTAATACGTCCTTCAAGCCAAAAATTATTTTTTTTTTGACCCATCTCGGCCCCCACTGGGGTTCTAATAGTGCAATAGTGCCCAAAAATGAAGTCTAAGCCAAAAAAAAAACACGAATGAAAGCAAGACGGCACGCAAAATACCAAGAAGCAAAGGAGGAAAACATATTGTGACTGAAACTATCGATCGAAGGCTACTGACTGTGCGCCAAGTACGCGTCATGCGCGGTGTTTGACGCCAGTGTCACTCTCGCACCGTCCACATGGAACGCTACGCACCGCCACACCGACACGCCAACGGCCAAGTATTAAACCAGCTAATAAGTGGAACAGGGGTCTGTCCTATCGTTGTTACTTTTCGAAAATTTTTTACGACCCCCCTCCCCCAACGTGGATTTGATACGACCCCCTTTTCCCTACCTCCACCATCTCCATCTTCCATCAAAACCCCGCCCACTTTTTCCTCCAAAAATGCCGTCGAGCGGGGGGGGGGGGGGGGGGTATATAGTCACTCTAAAACGGTAAAATATCTCCGAAAATTTCCTTCTATTTCCACCATTTCAACCCATTTTTACCTATACTCTCGCCCAGCCTACTACCCACGAAATCTTAGTTTCACCTCAATCCCACACGTAATTTCGAGCGACTAAAGTGGGTACGACCCCCCCTCCTACAAACTCAACCAGGTACGACCCCCCCGTTGTTACTCGTAACAACGTAGGGTTGACCCTGTTCGCAACAAGCCATTTCTTTGAGATCCTTTTGCATATATGGTATCAGAATATTTTCTCAAAGGTTACTATCACTTCGAGATATCCATTTAATTGTTCATTTACAACACACAATCCATTAATGTTAATTGGGAGCGGCAAAGACGCGTCTATTTGTACTAGTAAACGAAGGGGCGCCAATGTGTTCAACATGCCTTTCATCCTTTTTCAATGTGAATTTATAGCAGCGTTAAGAAGGATGTCGTACATATTTCAAATCGTCGTTCCTATCAACAAAAAATGATGCTCTTCCGCTGTTATCCTGTTATCGCTTTACTCTAAACTCACGCGGATGAAACCGCGCTTAAGTCGATATTCGCCTTTGTTTGTTTCTTTGCACGCCATAGGCTCGCAAACCAAGCAAACAATTGTTTTCTTCTACTTTACTAAGGCTTTTAGAGGACTCTGTAGTGAGTCCCTCACCTGAAATCCGCGTTCTTCAATGCGAGTTCTACAGCTATCGAAGGGTGTTATCGTACCATATTTGTTTTTTGTCAATTCTCTGGTGATGTTAAAACTGCTTTTGAAGCAATGCGTCAGAATGTTTCAGTTGTGGACGTTGAGCTGAATTTTTCTCAGGCATCTGCAAAATCTATGAGGAATTCCTGAAAAAGCAGAACCCATCAATGGCGAGCATCACTTACGACGTGTCTCATCTGTATGCGTTTATCGATAAGCTCTCGGACCTCAGCTGTCTTATTTTGAACACGGTCAGTATTCTCTCGTAATCTCGAGCTTGTTTCTGTCTAGAGAAGTCTGTTTCTGTATAAATCACTGACTACAAGTATCAACAAGGAGTAGCGATTTTTAGGAGACATGCCAGTACGTACCTCATAACAAGGACTGGATCAAGGAGAAAATCTTTGTCATGCTGAGGACCCAGGCCAAAAATGAATGATTTGTTCATTTTTCCCCACTCATCCAATGTATTTTAAATACATCAAAACGAGTTGCATGAAGAGTAGCTGCAAAATATTTGTATTGTTCATATTTCATATTCGTATTATCTTGTGCTTTAATCGATCTCGTCTGTGAAGTTTTTCGAATGAACGTTCCTTAGGATGGTTATTATGGTTGGGAGTTTCATACTGCTCCCTTCTTTGAGAGCGGTACAAATCAGATCAAATTTATTGACCGTTGCGTATATTGTGAAGGCATCGCATCGTGTGCGTAGGCAACCCGACTTATCCGACTTGTCAGGATGTCAACTGTCACGTTCGCACTTCCTCGAAAACTTTGCGACCCTTTCAAGGGGTCCAAGTGCGACCTCCTCCTGTAGCTGTTTGGACATATTCGTACAGAACCTCAAGATAGCTAACGGTGGCTGACTCACTGGTGTGAGGCACCGGCAAACATGAGAAACAGTAGCAAATCACGAGTTTCGAGCCATTTTATTACATAGATACATACATATAAATAACAAAATACAAACGAAGTTACGTACATAAAAAACGGAACTGAAAACGGGGAAGGATGCAGGCGAAACCCGAATTACCGCGAGCCGCCGAGCGTTGCGGCTTCGGCCCAGAAGCGCGTCAGGTTCCATCCAGGCAGTGAGGGAATGGGACGCGGTAAGAAGAAAATATTCCAGAGAAACATAACTATCTCAAAGTCATAGATTTTTCTGATTAGTTGGGAACACTTATTGTCAGCGTCGATTATTCATTTTGGCGCTTCACCGATATTTAGTTCCGACGGAAGGAAAAACTACTAGTATTCGGAATGCATTATCATCTATTGACGGAAAATGGACTCTTAACGATGACGATTGGCACATGAGAGAATCCAACTTTACCAACGGAAAATATCAAAAATAAATACCTGATACTGGGAAGAGCTGGCAAGATAATAAAAGAAACAACAAAACAGTGATGATCTGTATGAGGTAACAAAAAAGAAGAGATGGCAGAATCTGCACGCCGAAAGGCT